CTTAGAAATTTATGATTTGTAAAATCTTACACAGAACAAACAAACACAGAGGTAGGAACAGCATATGAATTAGACTGAACAAAAATTAATACATATTTCTTGATTTTACTTTGCCAAGATAAATAATAATATCTTTGTAATGTAAGTAATGGTTACGTAGCATCATCCAAAAGAATGGAAGTATGCTTAGATTGGAAAAAAAAAATCATGTCTACCTCTATATTCCTGTTTACTCATAATTGTGATAAGGATCTATTTAGATGAAGCTTTTAATTCCAAATCTTAAGCTCAACTTTTTTCCATTAGTAAGCTCCTAGAAATGAGATTTTGCAACGGGTTAATCACTAGTGAACTACTGAAGTCATAAGAAAGGGCTTGGTTAACTCAGTAGTTTGAAAAACATTCCCCCATAAATACTCCTTCTGATTATGCCCACTTCCAAGCCTCAGACTGCACTTATTAATAACTTTTTTTCTCTTTTTCTTCAAATATGTAGTAAGAATCGCTTCAAAACTGTATACAATCATGTATATATGATCAGAGGTACTGATCAGTTTTGCTAACCAGTGTAGAAACTGATATCATCCTAACCAAAAGCAGGTGGATGTGAATATTTTGTTATTTTCTGTGGAATTACTTCAAGGAGTCACACAAATTCCATTAGGTTCTGTAAAATACTGAAAGAAGAGCTCATATTCTACGCATATCTTCACAGTTCCCCAGGGCATCAGCATTTGTAAGAGGAGAACAACTTTGTTGTTACTCAAAATGAATTTTTTTCTTTATAAATGAATTTCAGATTTGAATTGCTGCTGACCCATATGATGGTCATCAGAAGTGAGCTTAAAACTACTCCATAAAGCCACTCATAGCTACACTCAATAAGTGATGCATCCTTCCCAACACCATTTTCCTATTTCTCCTTGGGTCCACATCTACACAGTCAATTCTAATTACTAACCCTGTGCTATGGGCTGAGTAGGACCCCTCCCCCAATTCACATGCTGACTCCTGCCCCACAATATCACATAAATTGAGTATTTGGAGCTTGGATCTTTAAAGTGTTAAATTAAAATGAGGTCATATGGGTTATCCCCTATCCAGCATGGCTTGTATCCCTATAAGAAGCTATAATAATAGTAATAACACAAGTAAAAAGACCACATGAGGACACAGAGAAATGCCAAGAAAAAGACCTCAGGAATAACCAATTCCACTGCACCTGAATATCAGACTTCTAGCCTCTGGGACTATTAAACATTAAATTTCTATTGTTTAAGCCACCAAGTCTTTATGGAAGCCCTGGCAAATGAATATACCCTGGAAAGCAGACAGCACATTAAAATACCACTACTTATAAGAAACATAAATCTAAAACAGACCATCTATTCAAAGTTGAATGCTTGGTGGTACAAGTTGAAGAATAAGATACTTGACATAATTTGACAGTCAGTCAAGAAAATTTTGTTAGCAACTGTTTTCATTTGGAGGCACAAATTAAATTGCAAACTTCCCTGGAAGAATGAGCATACTGCTCTAATTAATAATAACAAATTAGTAGTATTTTTGTTGAAGCTGTGAGGTGTTCTGCTGATAATAAGTTCAACCAGGTAATAAGGAATGATAGTTGTAATGGGGTGAAGAGCCCTAAAAGGAAAACAAAACAAAAGAAAACAATAGGTTTGAAGTATGCAGAAAGGGCAGCAAGTAAGTTACCTATGGGAGAGAAATGCAGCTTCTCTCTAGCCTCAGCCCAATACCCACACAGCACCAGGAAGGGTGTGGAGGGCTATCTGCTTCTCACTGTAGACATCCTCCACCAGCTTCCAGCCTCCACCAGTAATTTCACCTCCCTCCTCTCCTGCCCTTGGCATTCCCTCCTTTTCTTTCTGGAAAGTAGAGAACAGACTGTAACTTGCCTGTGTGCCTCCCAGGGAAAGAGGCCCAGGCTGGCTTTTCTGTCATGTAAGCCTTGCCACAGTAAACAGCATTTCAAGCATGACCCTATTCTATCACAACCTCCATTTGAATTTCATTTTCACTGGAAAAGGGCAAAGTGGTTCTGACAGAAAATGTTTATTTTCCATGTTCCCTGTCCTCTCTGCATTGCAAACTATAGGCCACATTGTTCTCTCAACAGTCCAGAATATCCAGAGCAGGCATATGGACATCATCGTACTCTACCCAATGGCATCACAAAACCCTTGGACTCACAGCTGGCACCGAACCCTTCCAATGACCCCAACAAAGTACTGCATCCTTTTCTGTATATTGAATGAAACAAAAAATACAGACACTAGATGACCTGCACAGAGGCACGCTAAATTAGGAAAAGGTCTAGAAATGTTCCTAATACTAACAGAAATGATCATATATGATATGTACTATGAAACTGATTGTGGGAGCGGGGGCTCAGATTATAGGAAATATTATAGCAGAAATATACTTAAAATTTTGTAGCAGCACCATAGACCAGAGACATTCTGTGGGGGTGGAGTGGGGAATGGGATCAAAAACGGGGGG